TTAGAAACATTCTAAAACAGCAACTTCTCCATTTCAAGCATCGACGCTGATGGACGTTACCCATAACCTTTCTGAAAAAAACATTCAGGAAGTTTAAGAAGACACGTTTTATAGTTTTTCTTAGATGGTATTTCTAGTATTGTGATTAGAAAAGGTTTAAAATGCTTTTCGGAGTTCCAGGGATCTCTGGAAAACTACTACACTAAAAACTGCTTATAATGTTTTGAAATTTATTTTGTATGAGTACCCTAATATGCATTCATTTATCAAACATAAAAAGAAACAGTTTTTCTTTGCCTTGAATCCGAAGTTTGCTTCGCAGGCACGCTCCCTGAAGCAGAATTTATTCGCTTTAACTGTAAGACACGCTACAATAATGGATGTGTAAACACACCAAGACAGACAATGTGGATAAATCAATTGTGCCAACAATAAATAGTACACGATTCAGACATACAAGATAATAATCCAATTGCTTTAAAATCGTTTTGTAAAATTACTGGAGATGTTTCCTCGGAATGTTTTCGATGTAGTTTTCACATTAAAAGTGGATAACAATTTGGAATCCATAAATAAGCGTCTAATCTATTAGGTATATGTTTTGTGTAAAATAAAGATGCTTTCACATCGATTAAGGTGTTTTTTCACACAGGTAATTTGCATGTAAAGTTTTTATTTACAGGACATCTCTAACAGTTCACACTATCTTTTAGTTATAAACTACTTGCTTGTAGCAGTGCAAATATATCTTTCAAAAGGAAATAGAGGCGCGCGCAAGTATTGTTCTTATGTATGTAGTTCAACATCGGGTATAACAGGCAAGTCTTTCATTTTTGTACCTCCGACTTTGATGTAAATAATCGGAATAGGTTATCTTTCTTTGGATGTATTGTAGAACCTTTTCCTTAAACGGTTACAGCACAAACAAGACCTTAGCAAAAAATGTTTAAATTGTTTTTTTCGATTTTGCTGTGACTCCGGAAACCCTTTTCTTGCGGAGTTATGGCCAAAATACTCGAAGGGACCAAAAAACCCGTTTTCGCTATCTTTTTTTGAATTTGAAATTTTTAGCCTGGTTTGGAGTTGAAGTATTCTAACACAGAGATTCCTGTTCAACGTCGAAAACTGAACAAGAATGTGGACTCAGAAAGATTTTAGACCCAAAATCCCTTTGCGGTCCGTCTTTTTAACTTTTCTTTATTCTAATGTTTTCCCACCTAAACCATAATTTTGAGAGCGAATAGTATCACATCTTGTTCGGCTTTTCTTGCTCTGTCAATCAATATGTAAGAACATTTCGTTTGTTAGCAATATGGACGAAAAACGAAATATGAATTCCTACGCTGAGACAATCGATATTTTTGGATGCCAAAACCTGCCAAAACCTCCATAGTAACTTCCGAGGAATTTCCTTGTCACTGAGGTGCTGCCTCGACTCGACGATCAGTTTTAGCATGATGTCGTAGCTCTGATCCGTCCTCCGCCGGACGAACACCTTCTGGTTGCACCAGAGACCTTCCACTGCGTTTATTGTGATTATGTTTGTAGACATGGGAATATAAGTATACGGAGCGGAAATGGTTAGTTGCAGACAGGTAGCAATCCTCGAAGCAAAAGATCGAAGCCAAAAGTCATTTATTGATGCAAGTCGATCGATGGAAAAGTCACTTTCTTACGGTTTTCAGAAACGTTTACAAATCCTCGAGATCCTGCAACGGAACCAAGTGCGAAGCAGCAGTAAAGCCGCATACTCGGATCAGTAACTCTAATCTGGATGTTTAGTTGGTAATTTATGTGAAAGACCTTGTGTTAATTTTTGTTCGTTTCCCTTTTTCTGTGAATTTTCGGCAGTGATTAGGTTTATAGACATGAGAATATAAGTATACGGAGCGGAAATGGTTAGTTGCAGACAGGTAGCAACCTCGAAGCAAAAGATAGAAGCCAAAAGTCATTTTTTGCTAAAAACACTGAGACCTTCCAGAAACCCTTTTAAGAACCTCTAGAAATCCTGTGAGTGTCGCCGTTGGATCCGCTGTGTTTGTTAACCTACTTGATTAATGCCAATATCAATGCCAATTTTTTTCCTGGTATTGTGTTAGACGAATGAGTGTAAAAAATGGGTGTCAAGTATTCGAGCTTATTCTCATGTAATTGGATAATTAGATAGAAATACAAAATCCGCGTTAATTATTCTCAACATCCTGCAACTACGCAGAGAAACTGGATAGCTGGAATCACAGCTTAGAATGGGATTAGTATAGAATCACAGGTCAGCAGATGAAAAAGAGGAGGTAATAATAAAGGAAAAATAGAGAATTTCTTATTAAACCTACTCTTTTAGAAACAATCACAATATATAGTTACGCCAAACAGCAACGAGAAGGGATGTCATCGAATAATAGTGCTTCTGTCGTCACCTTGTCGTCGGATTCGGTCCCCAGATTTAATACGAGTATTATTGATGATGTATTTGCCATGTGTTGTGATAAATTGATAAATTAGTTTAAAAAAAGGACAAAAAATGAAAAGGAAGAAGAAACAAAAGAAAGGAAAAAAGAAAGAAATATTACCAGCGGAGGAACATCAGGCGTTATCATTCTCTTAACTCGTATGTTTATAGAAAAAGTAGCTTAATCTGGGGCAAAAGAAGTACTGTACAGTGTACACTAAATATGAGGCAAATACTGTAGCCAGCTGAGGTACATTAGTCTTCGCATGAATAGTGAATTGTGTTTCGAAATTTTTCGTGGCATTTCATTTTTTGGTGAAAATCTTAGTGATTTATCGACGTGAAGTTTGCAAAACAAGTTTGAAATAGTGAAATCTCGCGAAATTGTGATTATTCTGGACTAAACCTTATACAGAACGTAGGTAATCGGTCATGACATGTGCTCAAACCAGTGCAGAATATATCTGACTCCCTGCAAACGTATGCAATAATTACGTTTCCAAACTTGAGTACAGAAGCCACTTTAGAGGAATTTCTTTTCTTACGATTTCCAAAAAACTTTACTGAAAAACCATGAGAACGTACTCTTAGAGGTAAAAAAAGTACAACAATGGAAAGAAAAGACTTTAGGCTGAAAAACTGCATCCTCTTCTAAAAAAAGCAAATCACTTTCGTTTTTCTTAAATATGAGGGCGAAGGTTTACCCTTAACAATATTTTGCCAACACGTTTTAGTTATTTTAGTTGTTGTTTTTTTATAATGTAACATGCGAACAAAAAAAATCAACAATATGAAAATATAAGACGTGTGAAATTCAAACTTGAACCACCATTTTGTTACGCTTAATCATACATCATTCGACAGAGAATTTCACGCTGATCAAATATATCCGACTTTTCCGAAATTGCAGGGTTCATTTTATGAAAAATTTCTACTTTTCGAAAATCGTGCAATATCTCGGATCCAAGTGGCTCTGGAACCTTCGAAATATGTTTTTCAAAATTAGTGCTAACAGTTGCTTACAGAAAAGTGTATCTAAAGGTTTCGGAGCCATTAGGAGTGTTCCATATATTCCCAAACTTTAGATTGCTTCGACTTTGATCTGCTCGCTCGCGATTGATATGTATGTCGAAATTTTTAGTTCATTTTTCTTTTTTGGTGAAAATCTCCATCATTTTTTCATGAAAATTCGAAAAAAATTAAACTTCTCACATAGGATAGAGATAGGTTTACAAATTTGTCATTCTATATATAATTGAAAATTTAAATAATTTCTCAATTAGAACTTGAGATCTGTTGAAGAAAATTGAGAACTACAAGGAGAATTACAACTTTTTCGCCTCTGATTTAGAAAAAATGAATTTTGTCAGCGAGGAACAGGAATTCTTAAAAAAGCTCAGCGTAGTTTTGTAGAGCATCCGGTGATTCTATAGCCATGTATTAATACTGGCTCTAGTATCTCTAGAGAAGCCTGTGTTTGGTTTACATCATGTCTTGGAGACTGTCTGCTAGCGACGTCTGTAGCGGCTGACCGTTTAGGTTAAAAATGATTTTGAAGCCATTTATTTCCTAATTCGGTTTTCGATGCTGGATCAGCAAAAAATAGTTAGAATGTTCCATCTTATAACACAACTCAGAAAAGTCAATTTGAAAAAGGATCCAAATTTTTGGGTTTTTGATACCTTGTGAGTTTTTCGAAGAGAACTTTATGCATTTTATTAGAAGAAAAATTTCCATGTGAAAAACTTAGTTTTTTCGACCGGAAGTAAGGTTCAGGAAAAGTCTGGGAACACATATTTGTGATCAGTTTGAAGTCCTCTATCTCATGGTTTGTGATACGTTCAGAAATAAATTTCATTCGAATTTTGCTTTCTGTGCATCGTATGAACACAGTTTTGTGCCCCAAGCCCGAAGATAAAAACTGTTGTCCCATCCCGTAAGCCCAACCCCGTAAGTAAATAATGTTGTCCCAAATCCGTCTGTCCCGTAAAAAAAATTTACGGGCTTTTTTATCTCGTTCTGTTTGTCTCTAAATTTCTTGAAAATTTTTTCTGTTCTGGTATACCGTGACTATTACAAGACGCTTAAAATTTCAAACTTATTTTTGCAAAAAAATTCGGATGACAAAGTTTAAGTCTGATTTATTTGATTTTGAACTTAAAAGTTTCTGCATAAAAAATGTACTCTACTCAGTCCCTCAGAATCGAAAGGAAAGAACTGTAAAGCTAGTTTTAGATAAAAAAACTTTTGTATTTGGGATTAATCGAAAATCAGCCAAGTGGACTAAATTTGCACACAATTGTTGTTCCTGTTCATTATTTTACTAATGTACTTTCGTTGGCTAATTATAGTCTTCTACGCATGTCACGACATGTTATTTTACGTCTTGACAGTACTTGCCAATACACTAATTTCTAAATTTCATCTACTGAACTTCATCCTTTCACTGGAAAAATTGTTTTGTTTTATCATTCATCATTATCTATATACAGTAGCTGTCAAAATTGTCCAACCGCCTAATGAAAAGTTGTTTTCGTTTTATATTTCAGAGATGAAAGTGGCTAGAGACCTGCGATTTCTACCATGTTATAGTCCATCGTCTCTAGTATGTTTGTGGTTAGTCTATCAGAACTTTGTATTGTTTATTTTTTATTAAAACAAAAAAAACATATGTCAAATTTTTCATGTGTCAAAATTATCCAACCACTTTTCTCCATCACCCAGTGCGGGCTCATTTTAACTTCAAGTGTATTCCATGAAATACCATTCCAGAGAGAAAATTGTGTTCTACACGATAAACTACTTTTTAGTGCAGTTTCTTTCTCCAAAAAAACATGATGACCACTGGTTTCAATGCATACCTGAAATTTTTGACATTGAAAGATTTTCTTTCCCGGACTTTTAGTAAAATTTTAATTTTAAATGCACTGTTACAAACCTTAAATACATTGTCAGAAAGGCCGTCGTAAACTACACTCGAAATACTGTTTTAGCAGTTGTTCTATTGCAGAAAGTTTACTTGCTCCCCTGCCATGCTCACACCAACAGTGCATAACAATCTATAGGATTTCTCGAATTCTCCTATGCTTGCACCGAAGACAATGTAAAAAAACTTTTTTAACACTACAGATTTGTAGAGAACGTTTTTCTCTACAAAACTAGTATATGTAAAAGTAAAATAAATATGATTCCAAACAGTCGGATACATTTTTTCACTTGAACGAACGAGCGATGGCAATGTTTGGATGGCTTCATCCAGAAGGTAACACAAAGTAACAGGTAATAAGAGAGATTTTGTCCTTCCAAACGTGAATAATCTTAGGAACAAGCAAAAAATGATAGCATGCGAATATTTTTGTTTATTGAGGCGAATAATCTGTAATACAGACAATCTCAAGCGTAAAATATCTAGAAGACGACAAGTAACGTCTCTTAAACTGTAGAAAGAGACCGTTAAAACACAATAACCACAACTATCGGCACAGTTGCTGGGTAAAAGACCGCAATAGCCTGGCAAGTCCAGACAACATAAGCGTTTCATCTTTATGGTGCGCAAAATTTGAAAAATCTTTAGTAGTAGAAAACACATTCTCTGCCATACTTATTTTTCCTTTCAAGCAACCATTATTATAGCACATTGCTATAGCATCCGATCTGATCATTGTCGATCTCACTAATTCACCGTTATCCGCTCTTCGGCTTCATACAGTGATTTTTTTTATTAAGCAACATTTATAGTGTTAACGATCGCATGAGGAAAACGATTCGATTCCTTCTTTTATTGATAAAATGAGGCAACTGTTGTAACCTTTTAAGGGCGCAGAATACCTTTTGACTCTGTTAGAATAGTTAACTTGAATATAGTTTCTTGAAACTAGTAGCAGATTGTCGTTTCAAAATAAGTAAAATGTGAAAATAAAACTCACTTTTCGAAAAACAGAGGAATCAAATCATTTCTGTCATGCGATCGTCAAGACCCAGGTGGCTGGAATGAGGTAGCCGATGTTTGTAATCTGAAAATAGTTCGACTCGTATCCATTATAAATACAACGGTATTTTCACAGTTAGTATCATTCTCTTCTTTTCTCTATTCAATCAGTTCGAAATCAGCAACAATTATGTTCTCAACATTATTCGTTATCGCTTGTGTGGCTCTTGCTTCTGTGAATGGTGGCGGGTATGAACGTGAGAAACCACGAGAATATTATGGTGATCGCTGTGAAACTGATCAATGTCGTGCTAAATTTGCTGGCGTCTACTATTTAACATTGACAAGAGACGACAATGCTACCCTACATGAAATCGCTACATTACGTCCAGATGGAACATTCACTGGTGTCAATTCCGATGAAGACATTAATCTTTATTCAGACAATCCAGAAGATTTGGGATATACTGATCTGAATGGTGTCTGGAGATGTGCTGGCAAACCTGGTCAAATCACAATCAGTGCATTGGACTTCTCATTTCCAAATTTGAGACTCCCATGTACAAGAGTATTAGAGCGTACAACATACACACTTGAGATCAACAAAGAGTGTACGCAAGTCTCAGGTGGATTAACATATAGCGGATATCAATTGGAATCGACTTCTAGTGCTAATCAAAAACGACAAGTAGTTTTGTATGGTCCGTATTCATGGACAGTTCAATGGTACAAAGTATTCGATTTATGTGAGAAAAAGAATGGGAAACATTACCCGTTAGGTATTAACGTGACAAGGAAATGACATGAACATTATACCTAAAATTCCGAGGAAATTCGAGGAATTATTGGTGAAATTATTTCAGTTCTCCCGACAGTTCCTCATTTCCTACTGGGTACCCAGAAGGAACCTACCATCATTTCCCCAGGTAACTGGGGAAAATGGCGTGACACAGACTGTATAGTGAGAAATATTTCCTGCAAAAAGAGAAAAACGCCGGGGAATCGAGGAATTATCTCGGTTCTTCAGTTCCCACTGGATGCCTTTTAAGGAACCTACCATCATTTCCCCGGGGAACGTGGGAATTGAGGTGACACAGGGTGTATAGTAAATAATATTTCTTGGAAAAAGAACAAAACGCCGGTGAATCGAGGAATTATGCCAGTTCTGCTGACAGTTCCTCAGTTCCCACTGGGTCCCTTGAAGTAACCTGCTACCATTTCGCCGGGGTACGGAAAAATTGAGGTGACACAGAGTGTTTTTTCTTTTTCCAGGAAATAGTTCTTACTATACACTCTGGGTCACGTCAATTCCCCAGTTCCTTGGGGAAATGATGGTAGGTTCCTTCCAGGCACCCAGTAAGAACTGAGGAACTGTCAGCAGACCTGAGACAATGCCTCGGTTCCCCCGGCGTTTTTTCTTTTTCCTGGAAATATTTCTTACTAAAGTCAATGTTTTGCTTCGAAGTTGACACGTGGCGTAATGATGATGAGCCATATTGGATGAAGTGGTGATGTGAAGAAGACATTGTTGGAGAACAGCGCGGTGATGTGCGTAAGAAGGTAGCGGTGTGAAGACGTAGTGTAAAGGTTGGATGTTGAGCGATGTTCAATCATGATATTGCGCTGAATGGATATTTGAGGTGAGTGATGATAGATCGTGTAGAAGATGACCGGGGATGGATGTGTGATGAAATCGGTAGTTGTTGTGACGGTAGGTAATGCAAAAAGTGAATATCCATAGGTGGTTGGAGACGAGAAGCAGACGATGAAGAACACGACGGTGAAGGTGAGACACGAAGAGCCGTAAGAGGCGTTAGAGGAGGAACGTGAGAACGAGATAAAGATGAGGTATGTCCCAACTAGCGTACTCGTGAGGATGAGCGAGTAAATGTATTGTATTGAAGCGGAGGAGAAGTAGTAGACATTACGATGTGCTGATGCGGTCGTAACCGAACATCGCTGCATGAATTCTCCCAATTCCTAACAATACCATACAAATATATATACTTTCCTGAGGAATTGAGAAATGACCATGATCCACTACACATTTCCTCGATAATTCCTGGACAATTCCCCGTTAGGTATTAACGTGACAAGGAAATGACATAAACATTACACCCAAAATTCCTTCTCAATTCCTCAATTTCTTCGAAGGAAATGAGCCCATTACAATACCTAACGTAAGGAACCGGGGAACTGGGCGAACTGAGGTGCCACAGAGTATATAGCAAGAAATATTTCCCGGAAAAGGGAAAAAGATGGGAAATCGAGGAATTGGCTCAGTTCTGCCGATAGTGTCTCAGTTCCTACTGGGTACCTACAAGGAACCTACCAGCATTGCACGTTCATCGTGGTTTCTCACGTTCATGCAGATGTTTGGCAACAAGTTGGCCTCCAAACAGTCTCGATTTGAATCCACTGGATTGCTCAATTGAAACGTGCTGTTCATCGAATTCGGCCTGAGGTCGTGTGGGAAAATTGTGCCTCCTCGGCATCACGCTTGAATCATGTAGCGAAAAATAATGCAGAATATTTGTGAAAATAAAAGGACGTGGTTTTGTAGAGAATTTAACGACGAATCGTTTGTGCGCAAGATCAGTCTGCTACAATGAGCCATAGTCAAGATATTCAAAAAAATGCTGGACAAGGACATTATTTATGCTGAATCCGTTACATGATTCATTCACTTTTCATCAAACAGTGTTAGTGTCTTGACTGTGGATGGTTTTTCTTTCTTATCAAGGGTATGGATGATTGAAGAAAAGAACGAGCTCAAAGTACGCACGAGTTGACCTATACTGTTTTCGCTGTTACACGTACTTTGCGAACGAGAAAAATTACATGTGCTGTCAACGTATATAAAAGGGTGCAAGTATTTTGCTTGAATAATATTTTCTCCATCCTTTTCACTCAAACAAAAAGTGCCTACAATGTTGGTTGCTTTCACGGTCCTGCTTATTGCGTGCATTAGTCTCGCGACCTATTACTTCTTTCTAATACGACAACGTTATCAATACTTTAATCAACGCGGTATTTCCACACCACCTTTCCGTTTCTTCTTCGGTCACTTGAAGACACTGTGGAATGCTGAGTCCTTTCACCGGCAGCTTGAAAGTTGGACGAAACAATATGGGAAGATCTATGGGATTTATCAAGGACATGTTCCTACCTTTGTTGTCAGCGATCCTGACTTTCTTCACGAAGTCTTCATCAAACGATTTTCCGTTTTTCCTGGACGATGGGAACCTCTCGGAAATACTGGAATGCCCAACGTCTTTTCTTCGTCGGGTGCACAATGGCATCGGCATCGTCACGTAATAAATCCGACGTTCTCAGCAGCTAAATTAAAACTGATGAGTCCTCTCATCAACGGATGTATTGATAATGCAGTGGAAAAATGTTTTGATCATGTAAGAAACGGCAACGAATTCAATATCTACCTGTATTACAAACGATTAACAATGGATGTTATATGTAAGTACAAGCTTACTTCCTGCTTTTTCAGGATTTTTAGCCTTGGAATTATCTCTTAACATGTCTGGACATACCGGTTCATAAAATCTTGCAAACAGATTTTTGAGGACACCTCTCTTCCATGAGTACTTCGAAAAAAGCTGATTTTTCATTTTCTTCTATATTTCTTTCAACGTAGAATCAAGGATACTGATCATAAATATTAACTAAAATGCAGCCGAATCTGGTAGTCACTGTTATAACTCCTGTTAAAACATGAGGTCATACTTCGATCTTGTTTCATTTCTTTCTCATGGTTCCTCCTTCAAAACTCAATTGCAAGGTTTGGAGATTTACTATGAGTGCAGAAACGCTCTTAGACATGTCCCAATACGTCTTTCAGACCCCAAAAGCCAAAACTCTTATATGTCAGGAGGATATGCTCATTATTATCATTTTCGATATTCTTTAGGTCGATGTGCTTTTGGGATCGACACCGATTTACAAAATAATCCAAATAATATATATTTTAAGAAAATCGAGGAGCTCTTCGCGGTTCCCATTGGCTCGGATAGTCTTTCCCGGCTCGCTAAGCTTATGCCTGAAATAGGTGGTATCATTGGTAAACTCTCACTTGTCAACGCTGCCGCACGAGCATTGATCAATATGTATATTCTACCCTTAATATCAAATAAACGATTATATGAAAGGCCGGGTATGTGGCTCTTCAAGCGAATACATCCAATTATCGAGCAACGACAGCAGACGCCTACTTCACGAGTCGATGTTCTGCAACTAATGTTGCAAGTCATGACCGAAGGGAAAATTAACGTAAGTAAGATCTATCAAACTTGAAATACATTTCTGTTGGTACTAATTTTACTTCGGATCGAGAATTCGTGGGGATAGTTCTCGTGTGGATAGTTTCTTCTCGATTCTACAGCCTAAAGTCTAAACAATATGGTAAAGTATTTTTATAGCAAATGAAAGGTCATGGAAAAGTGGACTTTTTATGTATGATTAGTCGTTGCTAAAGATGAAACTGGGCTATATAAATACAGAAAGTTTCATATTTCCGAAATGCAATGGTGCTCTTTCACGGATAGTCATGTCAAAAACATAAGGTTTTCGGGAATATGAAACTTTCTGTATTCCCTAGACTGAAAGTATAGGGTCTGTCAAACGGAAAATATGTATTTTGTCTGTCTGTCTGTAACCCGTTTTTAAAACCATAGTTAGATCTGTTGTTGATTGATTGAGAGTGAAGGTTTTTATTTCGTCAGATCAAGCACAAACACTCTTTCTCTCTTGATTGATCGCTTTCGCGCCTTTTTGGTTTTCGTCCTAATTAGTTCGAATATCAAGTGTTATGACTCATTTGACTTTACTGCCTCCGTGTCTGTGGAGAATACGGTTTTGAGACTTCAGCCCATCTCTTGGTTGATCGTTGATTTCATGTAAATGAGTGAAAGATGTTTCATCTTCTTTAGTAGGCATGCACCAAACCGATAGTTCGGTGACCGAACGGTTCGCAACCGAACATGTTCGGTCACCAAACGGTTCGTAACCGAACATGTTCGGTCACCAAACCGTTCGCAACCGAACATGTTCGCTGCCGATCAGCGAGCCCTAGCTTGGGATGGTTGCATGCCTGATCTGGACTAAAGGCAAATTGAATGAAATTGA